ATCAAATACTGTAGCAGCATATATAGACAATATCTTGTAGTAGTTAAAGCTCTGGACTCTCAAATCAGATGGACCTGGGTTTGAGTCTCCGCTCATTGCAAGCTCCACCTCCCGGGTTCACGCCAGTCTCCTGCCTCAGCCTCCCGAGTAGCTGGGACTACAAGTGCCTGCCACCACGCCTGGCTAATTTTTTTTGTATTTTCAGTAGAGACGGGGTTTCACTGTGTTAGCCAGGATGGTCTCCATCTTGACCTCGTGATCTGCATGCCTTGGCCTCCCAAAGTGCTGGGATTACAGGCGTGAGCCACCGTGCCTGGCCAAGAATTCTAATACTATTTTCTTACCATCAACTGAGGATAATAATAAGATCCACTTCTTAGAGTTCTTATGAAAATAAATGCAACAATGCATATATACTGCTTAGATGTTTCTTGGAACAGATTAAGGGCCCAATAAATGATAGTCATTATTAGTGATGGTTGTTCTAGAGCAGGGGTCCCCAAATCCCAGGCCACAGACTGGTACTGATTAGGTAGCCTATTAGGAACCAGGCCACATAGCAGGAGGTGAGTGACAGCCAAGCATTACCGCCTGAGCTCAGCCACTGGTCAGATCAGCAGTGGTATTAGATTCTCACAAGAGGGCAAACCCTGTTGTGAACTGTGCATGTGAGAGAGCTTGGTTGCACACTCTTTATGCAAATCTAATTCCTGGTGATTGGAGGTGGAACAGTTTCATTCTGAAACCACCCCCAACCCAGCATCCATGAAAAAATCGTCTTCCACAAAAACAGTCCCTGGTGCCTAAAAGTTCGGGGACTGCTGTTTTAGAGGACTTCTGAACCCATTAAATGAGATGGTCTAAGGCTCCCTAAGACAAACTAACATGCAAATACCCTCTTCAGGTTGATAAAAATGCCCACAAGGACAGAGTGAAACAGAGAATATGGCACAGAGGGAATAGCTTACATTCTCTCCTTTGGCTTCTTGACCACTTTTTCATGTTCTTTATAGTTCCTAGAATTATAAGAGCTCAAGAATCGATCAACCCATCCAAGTCTGAAAAAGATGAAAACTAGAAACCAGAAATAAATTACTGTTCCTCTCCAGACATTTACTTTGTATTTTTATAATCATTATTGAAAGTAGAGTGGGCTAAGTATTTAAAGCCAGAGTTGCCCCTTGAGACTACATTTCAAATGAAAGCCAGGATGCACATATCGCTGCTTTTGTTATATACGTTTTGTAAAAGTAGTACACTATTCACTTTAGCATCAAAATATTTTTGCCTAAAATTGGTAAAATTTGAATTACTGCAGAGATCATTATTAAGCTTTTTTAGCTCTTTAAAATGCACTGGATGAGATTTATTGCATTTGTTTTGAAAGGCAAGTTGCTTTTCTTTACTGTGTCCTTTGGCTGCTTCTTCAGGGGTGGCTTTCAAATAGCAGCTTGTGGTATAAAGGATTTTGTTTTTCACTCCAAAAACCATTGATCACTGTCTCTCATGTTTTCAGTATCAGCTTATGATCTCCCAATTGGAACTAACATGATACTTGCTAAAATGAAGTACATGACGTAACAACTGCTTTGATTTAGAAATACAAGGACTTGTTTTGGATTCCAAGTCTAACTGCAGTTCTGAGGACAGCATACACTTTTCACCATGGATTCTGGGATGCATTTGATTTCAAATATTGATGGTAAATAATCTCGTCTGATTTAGCCGAAATTATCTTTACACTGGTTTTCCTGACTTGTTTGCCTCTGCCTCATATTAAGTGTGGGCATTATTCACAAAGTTGGTATGATTCATTACTTAGGTTATAGCAAAGGCATCCACATTCCACTCTAGGGCTGTCACCATGAAGCCCGCAGAGGAAAAAAAAATGAAAGACTTCCAGTAATTGGGTGGAGAAAGGTGTGGGTCTCAGACCTTCTTTAACTGTTCTAAAAGAAGTCATTTTAGTGGAATGAACTCATGTTGGGCGGTGGGAGGGTTGGTGCCTTATTTTTAATTTTAAGGGGATTTACACCACATTCTTCCTTCTTAACAAAACAGTGGCAGCAATAAGGACATTACCTGCCAACATTAACTCATGTAAAACAGACTTGAAGAACTCCCTCCATTGTCTACTCTAAAACACCCGCTCATTATACACCCTCCAGTTGTGATGAAGAATTCTATTTTGCTGTAAATGTCAGCCAAATCCTGGTTTGTTTTTCCCCGTTATGATTTCACAGGTTACTCCAAATAATCTTTCACAGAAATTTTAAAGAGATGGAAGTTCTCCTAATGAGAATATGATCTCTGTGACTTGCTGTTTATTATAATGTTCTTACATGCAGGCTTCTATTGACTCACCCTTCAATAGTTAACCTCTGAAGTCAGCATTGGATGTCTGGCTTATATGTAAACTAACACCAATTTGTGGCCTGCAAAATATGATTTCAAAAACCAGTTAAAAATACTATTTTTTTAAGCTGGAAAAGAGCACTGCAAACCATAATAGGATGTGCAGTATTTTTCCTGTATTTGAAATATCAATGTAGCATTTTGTAGCTAATTAATCCTTCAAATAACAAGGAATGATAGTGGATAATTGCTATTGTGTTTTGATCATATTTATTTAGGGGGATTTGAAGCTTTAAGAGCAAACACTTCCTTATGTAAACACTGTAAAATCACATCATTTATTCACCCATTCAACAAATATTTTTTTTTTTTTTGCCTGGCCTGTGCTCAATCATGTTGTCAACCTTTTTGTACATAATTATGCAATAAAAATGACAGGCAAACTGACATAGGAATTTTCTTAGCAACTTCTGCTTAGACATTAATTAACTTTCATGAACAGCAATAGTTCCATCCTTTACAAAATGAGACCTGGGAGGTGGGACTTAAAGAGGAGAATACAGAAGGATGTTAGCTCTAAATACAATGCTTTGGGAAAGCCCCCAAATTTGAGTGTTTCAAAATGGTGTCAATTTTATGTTTGCTAATATTAGAATCATATGAGGTCAGGAGTAGCTGTTCACACCTGTTTTGGGTGACCAAGTCAGGAGGATCACTTACTTGAGCCCAGGAGTTTGAGACCAGCCTGGGTAACATAATGTGACCCTATCTCAAAACAAAAACAAAAACAAATAAAAAGCCAGAATAACAGAATGATATAATAAGAGTAAATATAAGTCATGGAATCTGTCTTCCCATACACCCCAACAGGTTTTTTGAACACAATGCTCACTTCTTTCTCTTTTCCTGGTCCTTGGTGTTGGTCTACCTGGAATATGGCTTCATCTATTCTGCCCAACTAATCCATACTATTTTTCATTGCACCTGTAAATGTTCTAGCTTCTATTTAAAGCCTAACCCGATTGCTTTACTTCTTATTAATATTGCCTGCCTCTCAGATCCTTAGAACATTGGTCAGTACCAGTGATATTAGCATTGAACTTAGTCTTCTACTTGTCTTTCCTGGGCTAGAGGTAAATTCCCTGAATTCATGAAGTGAGACTGTTAAATGTAACTTTCATGTCCTTATTTTCTCCATCTCCCACTGAACACATGGTTAATGTATACTGGAAATGATTTAGAGGCCACTTAATGATCATCTTCTTTTAACTCTACAATTTTCCCAGTAAGAGGCTGTTGAACTCCCCTGGAGATATAGAATTTATGAATCATGGAGGCAGTCCATCTCATTATTGTAAAGCACTAATTTTTACAAAGTTCTCCCTGTTCAGAGCCAAACTCTCTTGCTTGTTGCAGTGAATAAAGCATCATTGTCAATAGTTTTAAAAGTCATTTGTAGGGCAGGAAAACTGAAAGCAGATCATACATATTTATCTGTTTTGAATCCAAATATTCATTCATTTAACTGGAGACACAATAGACCAAGATGAGCTCTTTAGCGTTAGATCAGTATGAAATTTGATGCGCTTTTTGGCTTTTGTAGCACACAAGTGCTGTTTTGTGTTTGTTTTTCACTGTTATTTCCTTGGAGAGTTCTTTTGAGCAAATGGAAGTGAAGAGCACAAGAAACTTGCAGAAAAAAAGAGTTTCAAAAGTAAAAGAACATAACCTACAAAACCTTTTCAGACACCACAAAGAAAAAAAGCATTAAACACAGGGACATAAATCCTGAGAACAATATTTGGATGAAGATGATGAAGTTTTGTGGACTCTTGGGAAAAAGAAAGATGAAGGCCATGAATCAATAAATCTCTCTTTCTCTCTTTTGAATCACTTCCAACATTGACACTGAATAATTATTAGAGTCTTTTATGGCTATGGCTATTTTTTCACTCAACTTAAATTTGTTCTTCTAATGTAGTTTGTATGTTTGCCAGCATAAAAAGGCCAGTGGTGAATATAATAAACCTTATGCTTCTTGGCAAAGCTCAAAGAGATGCTAAAAGCAAATAATGCAGTGGCAGATATTTTATTTGTTCTCTTTAAATACAGAAACAGTGAAATACAGTGAAACACTGAAATATTTTGAAACACTGAAATAGTGAAGACAAATTTTCTAGATATTTGATAGTTGCTGGTTTAATGCAAATTTCTAGTTGCACTTCCCAAATATAAATCTTTAAAGCATGTTCTCACTTTGTTGGGACCAAAAAAACTCTGCGAATAACCATTTAGGTATTTAGCACACATGTACTAGGTACAGAGACTTTGCAAAGCTACGGTTCTTATTTTCTATTGGGAGAAATTTCCTTTTGCAAAATACTAGGGGAAAAGACAAGAAACTAAACAACTAGAAGAGCATAAGATAAATGGAAGTTCGTAGAGAATGTTGTGGGACATCTCAGAACAAATGGCTAACGCTCAGGTGGAAGTGGCACATACAGTTAGCTACGACAGCAGGGGCATGGAGACTACTGAATTCTGATTTTAAAACACTAGTGTATAACTAATAATCTTATAGGGTTTTTAACAAGGAATACAGCATCATATTTCCTTAAGAAAAATAATGATTTTGTATCTTTTAGGTGAAAATTCTAACAAGGAGCAAACAGCAAAGAACTGAAATGCTGCAGACTCCAATGAGAAAAAACTGAGGTATAGTTGGTAATTGGTTTCGTTGTGCTGGTGCTTGAAACTCTGTCCCAGTGCTTCCTTCAACTAAGGCTGCAAATTGAAAATGTGAACAGCGTTGCCTGCTAGACCAGCCTGGGCTTGTGGCAGCTTCATTCTGTCACTTAATTCTTCTCACAGAGGTAATGCCTATTAAGTGACTTAACAAGGGCGTGCATGATGTAGTCACGAGATGGATATCGGTAACAGTGATTCCTTGCTGGTACTTTCTATTAGGTCTAGCTTTCTTGTCACTCATTGATTGACTGCACAAAATCTCGCATGCTAAATTTGCCCAGGCTTCCAAATCATTGTACCTGTATTGATGATCCTCAGTGCACAAGATTACCACGTGAATGACAATGAAATTTGTGGTGCTGATACTCAGGGTCTCCACCAGCGATGTATATCACTATTAATTTCACTTTGTATTTCAGAAAGCTGAACCTTTTACAATGGAGCTTATTGCACCAAAAATAGTGGGAAATAGAGTAAAATCAAAGAGAAAACCTTAACAACTACATAGTTTGATTTGTTTCTAGTAGGAATATTTTTCTATTCATGTTCTAGATTATTTTCTAAAGTAAAGTATATTGATTGTCATTTTTTTTTTTTTTTACAAAAAAAACTACATCAATTTATATTCAACTGAGTTCTGGCCACACAAAGGAAAAATAAGCAAATAAAAATAACTTTCGACTCCCCCAAACTCAAAGATATCAAGTTATCTAAGCTTCCAATGTTTTCTTGTAAGAGTCGTCTCTACCCTGAAGATAAACTTAAATATGTACATCCTATATTCCTAGATTTCTTTCTTATGCCCTCAAGACTAACCAGAAGAAAAAATGCTTTCTCTTCCAGGAAATGCAGCAACTGTACTTCGGTTTTACATATATTATTCTGAAGGTGATATGTAAATAAGACTTTTCTAGAAAAAGAAACAATCAAAATATTTGGTTCAGTTTGGCTAATGAAATTCTTGTGTTTTTACTTCTCATAACTCACTACCAAAATCCCATTTAAAAGTCAAGATAGAAATTAGTTATTAAGAAATTTATTCATAATAGTGGCAGAGTGGGAAATTATATCATAAATGGGTCAGAAACATTGAGATATTCCTAGGAGAGAGAAGGCAATGAACAAACTTTGAGAGGAGAGAGACAGAGAGAGAGAGAGGAGGGACCCATTACAGAGGTGAGATCAGTGCTTTCAATCAAAGCTCCAGAAAAATGTTGACCTTGGAGACAGCAATTTCACAGAGGTCTCTAGCAGAAGAATTAAGTCTGGGGTAATTGTCAGAAGGTCCAAGAAAAGAGAGACTACCCTGGAAATCAGAGAAGTGAAACAGCCAGAGATGCTTCTGACCAAAATATGAACAAGAATAAAGTTGAAATTGGAGCAATGACCCAAGGAGAAATAGAGATAATAGTAAGAGGAAAAAAAACAAAAATAGAAAATAAAGAACAAAGACATCTGATTTACACCTCAAGGAAAAACTGAAGGATTTTACATTCACAAAATATGACCTGACTGCTATTAAAAAGAGTAATCAACGACTACAAAATATGTATTAGAAATTAAAATATGATGATCAGAATTAAAAATGTAATAAGAAGGCTGAAGAATAATAGGCTATGGTTGAAGACTGAGTTAGAAATTGATGGAAAAGGATGTATCCCAGAAGGTAGAGCAAAACATCAGAGGCAAAGTATCAGAAAAAAGCAAGATTACTACATACTGGTAATGGGAAAGCCATATCTATTATCCACCTGGTAGGGACTTCAGAACAAGATTAGAAAGAGATTGGAAGAAAGAAATAATTAAGGCAAGATATAAAACATTGCATTGATATTATGAAGACTCACACCTTCACATAGAATGCTAAGCAGACCTCCAGAAATTTCTGAGCTATGAGAATTAAGGGAATAACCAAATAGCCAGCCCCTTGCTAGTCTCATCAGACTTCTTACAGGAAACTCACAATACAGAGAGAGAAAGAAAATATGTCCTGAAGTGCTAAAGCAAAGCAATACATATGCATAAAATATAAAATACTATTTCAAACATACTAGCATTTTAAAAATTACAAAATTGTCTCTGAACAAAAGTTGTCTCTGAACAAAAGACAGAGGGATATGTAATATAAAAAAAGGGGAGAGTAAAAAAAAAATTAGAGATAGAAAAATACTTTCTGCCATTGTAACTCTGAATTTTAATACAGTGTAAAAAAAAAAAAAGATTCTCCAAAAGGCAGAAACATTATGAAAATACAAACAAATGAAACCAACCTGGTGCTAAATGTCAACATGATTTCAATGAAGTATGTTAGGGAAGGTAGGAAATAGGATGCTGAATGTCTTGTTTCGTTAGAGAATAATGTAGATATAGTTTAATACTTGATATGAAAAGATAAATGTATTTGTAAAAAAGTTTGGGTAGAATCTTAAAAGAAGCATATATAGTTTCCAACCCATAAGATTATAAAAGTAATCAAATAAATTGACCAATCAACTACCAATAGAAAAATGAAAAATGTATATAGTAACTAGAAAACATGCAGTAAGATGACAGACAAGTCAAACGTATCAGAAAGCACAATAAATTGAATGGGTTAAATACATTAAAAGGCATAATTTTTAAGATGTAATTTAAAAAGTCAGAAACTTTTTTTTTTTTTTTTTACTGGAGAGACATCACAAACCACCCCTAAAAGACTGAACAAAAATAAATTATATAAATATTAGGAGTGGTTATGGCAATAACTGATCAAATACAATTCTAAGTGAAAAAGCATTTAATTGGATTGAGCATCTAACTCAGTGTTAGAAGATGAAATTTACAAGAGCATAAAACAACCATGCATCTCTATGCTCTGAATAATATGGCATCAAAGTATATAAAGCAAAAACTGTTAAATGTAAGAAGAAATTCATAATACCACCAATAAAGTGGTTTATAATATAACTCTATTGACTCCTGCATTCCTGATAAATCCAGATGGAATCACTTCTTTTGACTAAAGAACATGCTTCAATATTTCCTTTAGAGTAAGTTTATGGTAATGAATTTTCTGTTTTGATTTGTCTAAAAATGTTTTTCTTTTAACTTCATTTATGAAATACAGTTTCATTGGCCGTAAAATTCTCAGAAGTTATTTTCTTTTAGGATTTTGATTATACTGTTACCTTTTGATTTCTATTTTTTTCTATTATCGGCTGTCTTTGCTCCTCCTTTGAAAAGACTACACTATTTCCTCTTTTGAAGAGATTACACTGTATTTCTCTGGCAGCTTTTAGGATTTTTCTTTGTCTTTTGTTTTCAGTTTTGTTTACTTCATTATGGTTTGGTGTGCTTTCCCCCCCCACTATGTTAGAAAAATCCTTATTGGAATATGTAGTGCTTTTTGAATCTGGAATTTGATTTCCTCATCACTAAATATTTCTTCTATTCCATTCTTGTCCTCCTTCTAGGACTACAAGTGCACATATTTTTAGGCCTTTTATAATACCCTCTTTGTTTCTTATGCACTTTTGTCTACTATCCTTTTTAAATTTTCCATTACAAGCTAGTCTGGATTATTTATTTAATCATTTTTTTTCAGTTTATTCATACTCTTTTTAGCTATGTCTAAACAACTGCTAATCAATTTCAGTGAATTCTAAATTCAGTTATTATATTTTTCAAGTTAAGATATTCATGTGATTGTTTTCAATTGTTTGTATTTTGTGCTGAAATTCTTCTTTCTATACAGAGTTCATAAGTCAAGAGATATTTCCATTTTCTTACTCTCAATACTCACACATAGTTTTAATTTTAATAGTATTTATGCATTATTTATATAAATGTTCAATTTATTTAACATTTACATTATCATTATTATTTGTGTATTAGGTATTACTTGAATATCTAAATAAATACGTATTCTATTTTTTTATGTAGAAATAAATACAAGACAACCCTATTCTCTGATCTCAGTGATTTTCTGGTACTGTCTGCAGTCTTAGTAATTGTAATATACATCTATCCCAAAGAGTGAGAAAAATGAATAAAATTAAATGTAAATATATATAGATTTAGTTCGTAAAAACCAGTAAATGCAACTCTGAAAAGTGTGTCTATCTTTAAAATAAAGTTAGTAGCAATGGTTCTGTGTCTATCTAAATTTTGATCTGAATTTCCAAGACTGGAGTCTAGTGCCCTAAATTTGCTGATGATAACTGTTAGTGTAAATTACGTATTTTTATATTAATAAAATATCCTTTTGATATAAATCTTGAGTTTCTTAAGTTGGTTGGAGGGCATTTTTTCATTTTGTTGGCTAATTCTTATAACACATTGAGATGATTTTTGTCTAATATATAACAACAGCAACTTTTTGTTGAGCTCTTACCCTGTACTGAATATTTAATACATATTTTGTGTGCTATAATATTTCTTAATTTTACCATCAAAAGAAAGATATAAAATAGCATTCCCATTTTACAAATGTCAATAAGAAAATCACAGTGGCTAAAGTAATTGCTGAAGTACACAGCAATTAAATTTGGCAGATCAATATTTAAACTTAGCTCTTATTGAAATTTCTATTGAAATGATTTAGTATAATAATGGTCTTCTAATATCAGATTGACACTGTATTTGTTAAGAAAAACTGGATATTTTACATGATTTACTCTTTTATATAAATTTTAAAACATATTACCAAACATTTTTGCAATTCAAATTTATACATGAGAAGAGCTTATGATTTTCTGTTAAGGGACATTTTAAAACGTTTTTATATTATGAATTTTTAAAAATAACATATATTTCTAATGTGAGATTTAAAAAGAAATACCAATTAAATATCTTTGATCTTTACTATACGTGTTATTTTAAATTTTTAAAAATTATGTTTCCAATCATTCAGATTTTCCGGTTGCTTTTTATTCTATTTAAACAAAATTATATTTTTGACGCTTTTCACATGATTTGTATCTTTAAAATTATTATCTTTTTAACTTTAAGCATTTTTACTTAGAAGTATTAAACATTTTAAATTTACTTATTATTTTTAATTTTGCTTTTGTCTTAATTTTACTCCACCATCTAATTTTTTCAAAAGCATTAAGAATGATATCTATTTATTAATTTCATTCTTCTT